GAGTTTAAACATAAATATAAAGGTATGTGTCAATCAAGATATATACAAGAACAGGCTCAATGATTAATTAGATGGACAATTGTGGGTGTGGTGTACATTTTGTAATAATTCTTTAGTATATTACTTGTGTGATGTAAGAATGTTAACACTGTTCAAATCTTTTTTTAGTATAATATGTGTGTGGGTAGAAGTGAATTATTTACTGCTTGCAAACCAATGATGGTAAGATGATGTCATGGGGTAGGACTGGATAAGTCTGACTTCTTCCTACTCCATTCAAGCATGTACTAGGTATAAGCATATTGATATTGGATTATGTGTAAAATTATGTGTGTTGTCATATCAGCTGTTTTACATGCTTGAAAGAATAAATCAAATCAAATCAAATCAAATCAAATATTCATAGATCCTGGAATGCACAATGACAGGCAAGTGTTGAGGCTTATTACAGAGATTCACTGACCTTTTTTGAAAAAAAAAAAGCTGTTAGACTATATATTGTTCATACCAGAGTATTTTTATATGCAAATATTAATATTATATTACGTATATGTATACATATTAGACCAAGATGGCGGCACATGCACAAGGCAAGGCTCAGTATCTCCCCAGATTTTGCAATTTTGCTGTGATTTTCCTGCCTATTTTATGTATCTGTCCTGAACCACCAAAACCTGCAGCCTGGTTAAGAAGGCTCACCAGTGCCTCTTCTTCCTGAGGACACTGAAGAAGAACCACCTGTCTTCAGCCATCCTGGTGAACTTCTACCGCTGTGCCATCGAGAGCATCCTGACCAGCTGTATCACAGTCTGGTATGGAAACCGCTCTGTCTCCAACTACAAGGCGTTGCAGCGGGTGGTGAAAAACTGCCCAACGCATCACAAGGACTCCACTTCCAGCCATTGAGGGTGTCCACAGGGAACGCTGTCTCTGACATGCTTGCAGCATTCTCAAGGACTCCTCTCACCCTGCTCAGTGTTTGACCTCCTGCCCTCTGGGAGGCGCTTCAGGAGCCTCCGGACCAAGACCAGTAGAGTCAGGAACAGCTTCTTTCCTCTGCTTGTTTGACATTGCTACTGACCATAGCAGCACTTGTGACACTTGATGTGTGGTTTCTTAATAATTGTCTCTAAAATATCCCTAAAACAAGTCTAGCTGCTCCAAATGATCTATATTTTCCTTCTTATCAACAAACCACACATACAGAGTCACAGTCCCCCTCCCACTCTGAGCCACAAAGCTCCACTGTCTCCACAGACAGATAGAGACAGGGAGCGGCTGTGGCTTAGGAGGCAGAATGGGTCGTTTCCTAACCAGAAGATTAACGGTTCCTGGCTTGTCCAGTCCACATGTCAAAGTGTCCTTGAGCAAGACACTGAACCCCCAGTTGCTCCTAATGATGACACCAGTGTGTGAGTGTGAATGGGTGAATGGCCAAATAGTGTGAAAGTGCCCCCCAGCTTTCTTCTATACCACTACACACACCTCACCCCTTCTCATCTCTCCTCCCGGGACTAATACAATACACTTCTGTTACCTGTAATCCGTTAACTTACACATACTCACAGAATACTGCTCTGTTATTCATTGCAATCCTGTTCTACATATGCAGATACTTTATATTTATCTTTGCATTATTTACATCCATTGAACTGTTAACTCATGTAACTTATTGTTATCTTCCTATTCTGCACTATTTCATTCCATTTCATCCCATTGCACTAGTGTTTTATTAGCTTAATGTACTTTATCCTTTATTTGTAATTTAAATCCATAAAGTCTGTTGTATATTATATATTACCTTATATAAATTATAGTAAATATCAATTGTACATTTCTGTTGGTAAATTAGTACTGACCACTGTTCATACTGTAGATACTGTAGATACTGTGCACTCTGCACTGCTATTATTGCACTTCTGGTTAGATGCTGAACTGCATTTCGTTGTGCTAGAAATTAATAAATCAGTCAGATAATTATTAGACTTTAATGTGTGTTATTAATGCAGTTTAGTAAGATTCAAAGTCTGCTCTAGTCTGCTCTGCTTCAAGGTTAGAAGATAATGTTGACTCTGAGCAGGGTACCTTGACACCAGCTATTTTTGTAGTAATCTCGTTTAAGAATTATGTCTGAATGGATGTTTTAGTTACACATCACACGTACAACATACACACACATTGAGCTACCTTATTTTGTTTTGACTATGTAATACGCAGCTGTTCCAAGTATGTGGAGCTCTAGATAAGAGATGGAGTCTGTGGGACGGACTTAATCTGTGTAAGGGGTTAGCCCAAAACTGATAAATGTATTAGGCTCTGTGTTTCCGGGTGCTTTTTTCCCTGCTCTCTTCTCCAGCAGCTTGTCTGAAGGAGGGAGCCCTGGGTTGTGTTCTGTAATCCTTTTATATATATTTGTAAATAAACCAGCACTAAAATCAAGAAAGACGGACTCCTTCCTTACTCAGATCTGTCCAGTAAAAGAACTGGGGTATAACAGTTGCCTTGTACTTCTACACGTGTAATGACAATAAAGTTGAATCTAATCTAATCTAATCTAAATATTAAAATGTCTCTGGAGTGGAACTTTAATGCAAAGGCCAGAAAATGTTTGTTATGGACAGAGTATGGTGATAATACCTCAGATTTACTGTATATGCAAATCACATATTTCTAGTTCAGTTATCGGTTTATATGGATTAAAGATTTACTATTCCTAGCACTAGCAGAACCCCCCCCCCAAACTGCTGCCATGTCAGGCCCCATTCCCATGACATGTTAAATTATGTAATATAATGTAGATGAAAAATCATCAATACTCTGGTTGGTCCCATTACACTGATCACAAAACTGGGTGTTCTACTATAAATACAGGGGGTGTCTCTACATTAAAAGATAGAATCACTACTACATAGCCTTTTGCAGAACAACGCTGCTCATTCACAGCAACGTATCTGTAAAATGCAAATAATAATACCGCCCACCAACCAAGCACACAGTCCATCTCTTTGTCAGTATCAGAGAGATGGACTGTGTAATGCCCAAAGAAATATCAGGGCCCTCTTCCTTCAAAAGCCTGTTATAAATGCCCTCTGGCAGTGTTTCAACAGAGGTGCAGAGGGCACAGCGTGGGTACACTGCCAGTTTGCTGCACTCTGCTTGTTTGCTCTGCAGTCACTAACAACAATGTCACCATGACTAACAACAGTGGAAAACTGGCTAATGGGAGAGCTGATTAGATGCTACATTCCTGCAGGGATAAAGCATGATATGTGTTGCTAGTAGTCCTGTGTGTGTAGTTTAGTTAAATCTGTTAAATCAACCAAAAATACATTCTTTGTCAAAAGGATTTTTTTTTTTTTTAGAAAAATAACAGTACATACATTATACAAAGGTCAGGGATAGTAGTTCAAAAGTGCACGCAAACACAAAAAACTCATAGTCCACCCTGCTTTAATCTGTACTTGAGGTTCTTGGAAGGTCATGGAAGCCTAAAATACACAAGGATCTGACCCAATCCATACTAGGTCTCTGGTCTTTACATTTTGGTCCACTTTCTTTCATCTTTATTTCAGAGTTAAATAGCCATTTGTCTGAGGTCTGTGCAAATATTTAGATTCTCTCTGTTAGGACCTAAAAGGACCAGAAAAAGAGCCTCATTAAACAGCACAGGCTGCATCTTTACCCAGCCAATCAAAATGTAGCTAATTTCATGAATGTGTTTGGGAAATTCACTGTCTTACCAAGAGTCAGATGGAAAAAGCAATTCTCATAATTGTCCATTAAATATACCCAAAAAAGTCTATAGTCTTGTGGTTTTACAGCGAGCTCACCTACTAGAACGGCAGTGTTCCTTGGACACGCACATCACTTCCTGTTGCTCTTTGTCAGCCTAACAAACTCCAAAGTCACTTTGCACATGAGAGAAGCAGTCTCGTAGATAACCACACATAAAATCCAAACTCACTGTCTTTAAACTTTGATTTTTGTACAGATTAAACAGACAAGATATAACATGTAAGATAGTTAGTTTTAGAGGTGCAGAGACTGTTTCCCACTGTTTCCAGTCTTTACACTAATCTACAATTACCAGATGCTGGCTGGAATTTCATATTTGCTGTACAGATGATACAGTGGTTTCATGCTTCTCATCTGTCAGCACAAAAGTGAAGATTTATTTCCCAAAATATCGGATTCTTTAATTTATTAGGAGACTCTTCATTGGTCCGTGGGTTAGCTAGTTCTTGTGTGTGCACTGCAGTTCTGAATTGCACTTGACTTTCTGTCAGCCTTTCACAGGTTACAGGTTGAGTCAGTTTCAATTTAATCAATGAGGTTTTTCAGCCTGGTTTGGCTTGGTGAAGGTTAGGCAACAGGTGCTCCGTGTGGGAAGCAGCACAAATTCCCAGAGCTCAGGTTCAGTTGCTGAAAGCCTAATCTGCAGTGTTTTGACAGTTTTGCTGTGTTTTATTTTTTTCTTTGTTCTTTAAACCTTACTTGTAATGCATACATTAATACAATACAATAAATTAATGAAATTACCATATACCTTTTTCAGCTTGCTTTTAGTTGGACTGAGCTCCCTGGTGTAGGTGATAGTGGTATCAGGCTCCCAGTCCACCTGTTCACATGGTAGCTCCACCATCCCCAGTGCAGCCTCTCTCAGGCCCGAGAAGTCCCTGCTGTAGACAGCCAGGCTCAAAGTGCAGGTGCGCAGCTCTTCCACAGAGCCCACCTGCAGCACGAAGCTGTGGCTCTGGAGGTCTGGGCTGAGACTGCGGCGCCGAGAGGAGATCTGCTGAGGGGAGGGGCAGAGTGGAGGAAGGCTGGCGCGAACAAACACCCCACTGCGCCTTTGACTGGCCCCTGAGAGCCCTAGGATGTTGACCACCAGGGTGCCATAGGTGGAGGAGAAGAGCAGAGAGAAGTGAAGGAGAGAAGCAGGCTTTGAGGGGCCAGACAGAGAATTAGAGCCATATTGTGACAGACAGGGCTCACCCTGCTGGGTGGGAACTCTGGCAGCACCTGCAGTCAGTCGACTGCTCTCACTGTAAAGAAAACCTTCACCTGTTACAGTGCTGTGCTGACCCATTGTTCGACGGGACTTGGACACCAGGCTCAGCTTAGTGAGGGAGGGCAAAGAGGCTCTGCCATGAGTTAGAGGTTTATTAGGTGAGCAGGGAACAGCTGGGGTACTGAGGCGGCGCATAGGGAAAGAAAACCACCTCAGATGAAGTGGTAGGGCTGGGGTCAAAGGGCAGAGCAGTAAGGTCATCCTCAGAGGCAGAAAACCTGCTTTTAGAGGAAGGGAATTCCAGCACATCTCCATCCAGCTCCTCATACTGCTGCTTGACAGGCTGCGTACACGGAGAGGGAGTCAGTGTCACAGTCACCCTCTCAACAGGATGAGGAGACAAGGAAACTGCCTCCTTGTCCTCTGATGAAATACTTTTCCTTCTGCGACAGCAAAAGATGCAGCCAAGAACCAGACAGTAGCAGAAAACAGCCAGACCCACAGCCAGTAGGATCTGCAGGTGAACTAGGCAGAGAGGAAACAAAGCAGTCAGAGCTTAATATTGTATAAGTGAGATTAACAGGAACCATGAGAAAGGTCGGCTGTTTTGGGGACAAGGTCAGAGAGGCCAGATTGAGATGGTTTGGACATGTGCAGAGGAGGGATAGTGGTTGTATTGGTAGAAGGATGTTGGAGATGGAGCTGCCAGGCAAGAGGTCAAGAGGAAGGCCAAGGAGGAGATATATGGATGTGCTAAAAGAGGACATGAAGTTAATTGGGGTGAGAGTAGAGGATGTCAAGGATAGAGTTGGGTGGAAACAGATGATTCGCTGTGGTGACTCCTAACGGGAACAGCCGAAAGAAGAAGAAGCAGTACAGTATAAAAACAGTAAGATCATCACAAACTAACAAATCAAATTAGTTTTGCATCTTAGTGATATGCCAGTAAAAAAGAGAGACTTTCAATAAAGTCAAATTCATAACCAACTCTACACATTATCTTGCTGTGTCTGCACTTTACATCTTAGTGAGATTAAAGAGGAAATGTCTCAGAGTTAGAATCATAATTGTATTAATGGTATCGTCACAGTTGTGTCTTAGATCCAAAGTAGGAGCAGTGCACAATCAATGCATTGTGTCAATTTTCATGATTGTGAGTCTGTCTGTGTGTGTGTGTGTGTGTGTGTGTGTGTGTGTGTGTGTGTGTGTGTGTCTGTGTGTGTGTGTGTTGAGCGGATTACACATTCATGGTCATCATAACGATTTCAATCACTTAAATGCTGATGTTGTCTGTTCTACCCTTAAATTTTCCATTACACTTTGAATCAAACTTTCCTACACAGTGAAAACATCACATATACTTACCCTGAAATATACTGTAGCTTAGCATACTGTACTGAATACTTTACAAAACATGACAGAGAATTTCAAAATAAAAGTTTGTGCACAAAAAAAGGATCTATGCACAAAATGAATTAATCGATCCTTTTTGTGCATAAATGCAGAGCTGCCAGATCTACTGAGATTGAAGATGTTAAAGCTGAACCCCGTTGCTCATTTAGCATTAGATAATGAGGGTGTAGTGGGATGACTCATGCATCAGACCCAGAGTGGTGTAAACAAGGTGGGAAAGCTGAGTTACAACACTGACTGTTGCAAAGTAAACAGACAGCAATGATAACAACCTTTCACTGAGAGAGCTGATTTTGTGATTATATAAAACCATATAATCAATTATTAGAGAGAAATGCTGGTTGTCTTAAATAAAATAGCCTAAAATATGTAAGTTTAGAAGCATCGCATCATTTCTGGATAAAAACTGGTTTATTTAAACACAAAAAAAATACAAATACAAACTATCTGATGGGTGTGTCCCAATAAGACCCATACATGACTCCCCACATCATAGCAAGCAGGGGAGTCCTAACTGTCTGTACAGATCCATCCAGCCATGTCAGGGAGCCTGTCCAGGAGCAGGCAACTCCTCAGACAGCCTCCATTAACAAATGAAAGTCCAGATGGGCTGAATGCTGCAGTAGAGTTAGAAAATACAGGCTGATGGGATCGGGCTGGCCAATCAGTGGACATGACCATAGACCAAATGAGGTAATGGTGAAACCTGTGCCAATTCAGCATTTAAGGCAGAGTTCCTAGTCCTGCAGCATACTGCTGTGGTGTGCACGGGCTTCTGCTGCTAGCCCTCCATAAATTATGCATGTGGTGGACCAGCATGGGAAATGCACTGACAGAAATATTATTCTAGCCTTTGAGCTAGACTAATCATTTTTTAATTTTCTCTGTAAAATTCTTGATTCCTATTCTAAAAGTTCTCTGAAACAAACAGAATAAAGTACAGCCTCAATCCATCGCTCATGCTGAGTTGTCAGAGCGCATAAAACCCATTTCCTTAAAATGCCTCCGTCCCCTTGTCGTAAGTTCTTCTTCACGACTAAAATCAGTTTAATAGAGGAAGTAAGTGACCTTGCGGTTTTGATCAAATCATGTCCTGATATTTGCATCCTTTTCTTTTCGTAAACATCCAAGGAAGCAACAGATTAAAACAAAACGCGACTACAGGGACTGCAGGCTAAACAAGAAGGCAACACGTAAAAGTCACACACATTCAAGAACGTCTACTGCATTCCTACCTCCCATCGTGTACTGCGACATGTTTCCATATGTGTGTCGATTGTGTGTGAGCGCGATTTATGAGAGCGGTCCATTGCCAGTGCGCAGGGACCTGGACCCTTCCAACCAATAGCTTCATCGGGTGATGAAGCTATTGGTTCCAGTCGTGCGTCCGGAGGCAGAAAGCCCACTGTCTTCGTAAAAACAGTTCGGTGTGGCATTTTAATACAGTAATTATGGCTATACGTCCAAAATATTGAGGGGAAATTTAAAAAGCCACAGACAAACAGCTGATAAACAGCTGTCAATGGACTGTGACACACATGACTATAAAATAGCATGGG